TACATCATAAAACTGTTGAAGTTACAGTTAACTCTGTAAAACAGTTTACATGTTCACAGTATTTTTTACAGATTTATTCTGGCAACCACAGCTGCCAGTTTTTTTTCGTAAAAACTACGGAATTTTTTTTACAATGTAGGCCAAAATGTATTTAAAACAGCTGACGTTAACTTTAGATCACAGTTTGAAACCCTCCAGCATTTTTAAAAAGAAAAACAGTACAGACACGCTGATTACACTGTGGGATGAAAGTGAAAGTAAAACGGTGCTGAGCACCCGTTCGGTAAAGAAACATACACAGCTGTTCTTTGTCCCCTCATATTCCGACACAGAGGGTAGAAACAGATAAATTAGACAGTTAAAACACATTTACAGTTCATAACTCACCCTTGTTGTTGTAACATTCATCCTGTGTTGTCCACAAGCACTTTCTGTCCTGCTGTGGGTCCATTTCCTTGAAAAATAAAACTTAACCAGGCACTTTGAAGACGCTCTGACGCTGGTAGTCTTTGTACTGTAGATAATAATGTGGGTTTACACAACCCAGAACCAAACATTTTTACTTCTGAACTTGCATATTTGGCATGACGCTATGAACTACAAAATCACACAGCGAGGAAAAAAATGGCTGACTATGAAATCCAGTTGGCCAGGAATACATGACCATATATGGTAGTTCCAAAGAAAAAAGTGTGACGAAATAAACAATGACACGAAATAAGCAACAGCAGATTTTGACGAAACTGAAAAATTTGACCCATAAAAAATATAAAAATATCTTTGCAGTAACTGGACAGAATAAATTAAAGTTTTCTACACTCCTAAACACTGTAATTGCACAAAAATAGTTTATAAATGCAAAAAAGTGCATTTAGCATGATATGTCTCCTTTTAAAAGGAATAACACAATCTCTTTGAGCTGCACCTCTGGTTCTGACATGCTGATTTCTGTCCACAGTTGTCTTTTAAACTGTCTTCATGTAACAAATGTTTAGTTCAGGATGTTTAGCCTGGTACATGATGTGACTGAAGCTCTGTTTCTGTAGATACGATCCACCTGGTTAGAGAAACACACCTTTGATTCAGACCTGAAGCTGGAAAACAAATATTAGTTCAATAGTTAATAGCCAATCAGGAAGCAGCAGTGTTTGCAGTTGGTCTTAAATCATTTTACTCTGCCTGTCCTGCTCTTCTCTGCTGGTCATTAACGCTAAATATAAAAATTTTTTATGTTGTCTGTCTGTTTCAGGTTCAACTGACTGCATTTGCTTCGCCACAGTGGGAACCAATGATCCCGTGACCTCTGCGCTGCACATCATAGTGGGTCAGTCAGAGTCTCCTTATAAATCCAGTGTAGAGTAAAACACAACTCCAGAACTGAACAGGTTACACATCATGACTCAGCTACATTATTTTTATGATCAGGTAAATTCAATTTTTTTACTGTTATTTAACCAGGAAAAACATGTATTTACTTTACGAGTAGCAGTGTTGTATAAAGTACCACAAAGTGATACTTGAGTAAAAGTACAAGTATCTTACTAAAAAATTACTTTGGTAAAAGTTAAAGTCTCCTTTAGGAAAATTACTTGAGTAAAAGTCTTAAAGTATCTTACTAAAAAATTACTTTGGTAAAAGTTAAAGTCTCCTTTAGGAAAATTACTTGAGTAAAAGTCTTAAAGTATCTTACTAAAAAATTACTTTGGTAAAAGTTAAAGTCTTTTATAGGAATATCACTTGAGTATGTTATTTTTGTATTTAAGCATTAAAAGTAAAAGTATTTATACTTTTCCAACCATATTAAATTCATTCTATCTAGGAGGCACAGTTTTTATGGATAGTATTTATTTTTTACAATAACAAGCTGGAATAAAAACAAGTAAAAATAAAGTAAAAGTAACAACTTTCTACTTCTTGCCTTTTTTTAAAAATGTAAGGAGTAGAAAGTACAGATAATTGTGTGAAAATATAAGAAATAGAAGTAATAAGTAGGCTGAAAAATAATTACTCAAGTAAAGTACAGATACCCAAATATTCTACTTAAGTACAGTAAAGAAGTATTTGTACTTAGTTACTTTACAACTCTAATGACTTGTCATAACTTATTCAGCAATTTATTGCAGATGTGTTGAATTGGAGCCTCCCTACAACTTAATGGTAAATCTGATGTCATTTATACCAGTCAGAATATAATTACAGGTAATATAGGTATATAAATTATAGGTATATAAATAATATAATTAACTGATATGTATAGCTATAAACAAATTTCAGATATCTGGAATGTTAGTGTGGGTGGAGCACATTTTATGTCCCAACAGCCTGCCATACACGGGGAGGTGGTGATGTTTTTAGGAAGAGAGCTTAAACTTTTACTGGTCAGGACACTCATCTCAGATGAGCTCTGGTCCAGAGAAGCCGGCGGAGTTTCTGGGTGTTGTTATTTGTCTTTGCATGATAGAGCTTTAACTTGTAGATGTAGAGATGAACTGTGTTCACTGACGATGGTTTTCTGAGGTCCTCCTGAGCCCATGTGCTAATATCTGTTACAGAAGGATGTACTTTTAATGCAGAGCTGCCTGAGAGGTCAGAGGTCACCAACATTCAATGTGTGTGTTTATTGTGTGTTCAGGTGACTCTCAGCCAATGGATGTGTGCTCGGTTCACCACAACAACACCTTCTTGCGGTACTCCATCTCCCTGCTGGGATACGGGTTCTATGGCGACGTGCTGACTGACAGTGAGAGGAAGAGATGGATGGGACCGGCCAGATACGAATTGTCAGGTGAACCTTTATTTTTTCAATATGTTCGCACACTGAACTGTCTTCTGTGCTTTAAGATGATGTAACTGTTTATTTGTTGTTCTGCAGGTTTGAAAATGTTCCTGACTCATCATTATTACGAAGGAACAGTGTCCTACCTGCCGGCTAAAGGCATCGTGGGAACGCCGAGAGATGCTGCCAGATGTCGAACTAAGTGAGGGAGAATTAGATACGTGTCAGATAAATGTGATGATTGGTTTGTGTTGTTGTTTTGTTTTTCAGAGTAGTCATCAGTCACAGTTCACTGTTTTTTTTTTTTTTTCAAAGCTTCTGTCACATCAGAGACTTTCAGGATTAAACTAGTTTGTTTTTAAAGTAGATCTGTCAAACAAAAAAAATATGTTTCTTTGTCATTTTTAAGTGACCTCGTTGATCTTTGTAATGTTAGAGCAGAGGTGACCAAAGTAGGGCCCAGGGGCCACAACTGGCCCACCAAGCCATTTGCTGGTTGGCCAAATCAGTCATCCTATGTAGAAACCCAGTATTTCCATATAAAGTCTTTCCATCGGGTGCTTATTTTATCTTTGATATATAAAGAATGAACATGAAATACAAGTAACAACAAGAGATATTTTGATTAGATTTAAAGGGATCCCCGATTAGTTGTAACATTAGACTTTATATGATAAACATATACT